GGGTTCAAGGTCAACTGGGGGCCAAGTCCGGGAGGGGTCAGGGGTCTCAGAACTGAAACGGATGTGACAGGCGGCACGTGCCCTGTGTCCACTGGGTCTTCTAATCCCCTCGATGGTCCATCTCAGAGGGGAAAGCCCGACCCACACTCCCCTCATCCTCACGGGGCCTGGGATGGTGGAGTCTAGTCTTTAAAAAGACCCTATTTCAGCAGGAGAGCTAAAAAGACACTTCTCCAAGGAGGAAATGCAGATGGCCAACAAGTATATGAAAAAATGTTCAACATCACTGTAATAAGGGAGATGCAAATTAAAACCACAATGAGATGCCACCTCACCCCCGTGAGAATGGCACATCTTCAAACAACTAGCAACAACACATGTTGGCGAGGATGTGGAGAAAAAGGAACTCTCCTGCACTGCTGGTGGGAGTGCAAACTGGTACAACCACTATGGAAAACTGTTTGGAGGTTCCTCAAACTGCTAAACATGGAGCTTCCCTACGACCCAGCAATCCCACTCCTAAGTATCTACCCAAAGGACACAAAAACAATGATTCAAAAAGACACCTGCACCCCCATGTTTATTGCTGCTTTATTCACAATTGGAAAGACATGGAAGCAGCCCAAATGCCCAAAAGTGAATGACTGGATGAAAAAGAGGTGGTACATAGACACAATGGAATATTACTCAGCAACCAAAAAGAGAAACACATGTCTTTTGCAGCAACATGGATGGAGCTGGAAAGGGTCATGCTTAGTGAGATAAACCAGAAAGAAAAGGAAAAATACCGGATGGTTTCACTCATAGCAGGAGCATAATGGACCAGGGGGAAATAATCATAGTAATGATCAGCTATAGACCAGAGACATTTTGTGGGGGTGGAGCAGGGAATGGTGTCAAAAACAGTGGGGGGGAGGGAAATGCACTGGACTGTGGTGATGGCACAGGGGGACTTGGTGATGGGAAGCCCATGGGGATTGCAGCTGAGGTGGAAAAAGGTACAAAATGATGGAAAAATAACTTTCCATTAGGCCGCTGGCACCTGGCACTCACCGACTTGTCCCGGGAGACCTTCTTGAAGATGACAGAGTCCGGTGCACACTTACTGGCCTTCCCGTCGGCGGCCATGGCCCTCCGCTGCGCTGGGCTGGGTCTCGGGACAGGTGCTGGCCGGCCGGCTGGGAAGGTGAGCGGACCCTGGAGCAAAGTCAGGGACGCTCAGGGCACCAAACCAGTCCCGGGCCCTTCCCCAGCGGCCCCGCATCCACGTCTGACTACAGGCCTCGGTCTAGAGCACACTGCCCCTGGGGTGCCGGCCCCTCACTGAGGCCGGGGCGCCCAGCCAGGCCGCAGTGCGGAGCGCCCATTTGCTGACCCGTCTTTGGTAGCTCATGCTTGGCCGTGTTGAATTAAACTGTCACAACGAGGCCCGACAGAACATTCCTGAAAACCACACCACAGCTGGCATCATGCTCAAAACAGGCTAAATCACCCCACGTTTAGTGCAGCGCTGCTGCCCGGCTCCCATGCCCGGCTCGCCAGTCCCATCTGGGCCACAGAGTTCAGCACCCTTGACCTTCCTCCAGGGCATCTCAGGGAACCCAACAGCCCCCACAAAGCCAGGGGAACCCAACCTGGCCCCGCTCATCCCTGCGCTCCCCGATTCTCACATACCCAGTCCAATCCCGGGATGGCCGCTGGGTGAGCAGCTGGGCCCTGCTGAGTCGACTGGCCAGGCAGGTGAGTTGGGAGTCCTGGCCAATAGCCCCGGGAATTTGTAGGAACCTGGACGGGGGCTGGGCACCCAGGTCTCAGTGTCCAAAAGCCAAATCCTATTTACGGAGCAGAGTGGACACTGGCTTAGTGGTGAGGCGGGTGAACTGTGACTCAGCGGTTGTAAGCGTGAAGAGAGGGCACCTGGCTGCGCCCCGAGCGTCCTGGACACAGGGGCCAGCGAGCTCCCGTGGCAGGGGGGTGGGGGGGGCGCGTGTTGGCAGAGAGAGAGGGCAGGGACAAGAGCTAAAAGAAAGCTGCTTTTGATCCTAACCCGCTTTGGGCTCTGAAAATAGACTGGTGATCCGTTTACTCCCAGGGTCCCCAGGACAGGGGATTTTCAAGTGCTGAGCAGCCTTGATTCAATTCAGCAGGCGGCTTCTGCGACCTTGGGGCTGGAGGTATTAAGGAAAAGGCCGAGAGAAAGGGCAGCGTCAGGAGGAGCCCTCCGCCCCGCCCGGCGACGCCGTCACAGGCCGCATCCTCTCCTTGGTGAATGCTGACGCCGGTGTGTCCATCTCATCTGCACGGACCCCTCCCCACGCCAGGCCCAGTCCCCATCTTCGTGCTCCTGGTGGGAGCCCGCCTGCCGCTGCTTAGGCCCTGCTCCCGGAGGCAGATCTCTGAAGCTGTTTATACCCTGCCCTGTCCCCCACATAACCCTCCTCCCACCTCACCGCTTTGATTCTTTGCACCCCCAGATCTTGGCTCAGGAATCTCTCCCGCAGGGGAGCCTTCACCGAACCCCTGAAGCAGGACACGGGCACACTGGTATTGACGTGGAGGTGACTTTCATCTCTCCCGGTTCTGGACACCAGGCTTCATGAGAGGGGCTCCCGCCCCGTGTTCCCAGTGGCCAGGACAACAGCTGCTGCCCAGAGCACCCAGGGAGTGAGTGGACAGGAGGCTGCGGCCATGAATGCCTCCACATGCAGGACTTGGCCTGGGGTCTGGGAATGACGTCTGCGCAGAAGACTGTGCTGGGGTCCTGAGGTGCAGGATGGTAGCACAGCAGGGTACCCCAAGCGGCATCCTGCCTTGTGTGGGCAACGCCCGCCGGCCCTGAGGCCCCCTCCCTCGGGCCTTGTTGCCCGGCTCCTCTCTACGCTGCCCCCTTCCACTGGGCCCTGCGCTTCTCCTCCAGCTGCCCCAGGGCCTGTGCAGACTCGCCCCACAGAGAGCCACCGCCCGGCTGCGCCCTTCACTCCTTCCTGTCATACTGCAGTGGCACCCACCACTTACCGCCCCCCACTCCCGCCTGCCTGCCGCTTCCCTCCGCGCCGTCTCTGCGTGCTTTCCCTCGTTTCCCCCAGGGAAGGCACAGAGTAACTGACGGTGTATCTGGTTTACCGTCTGTCCCCACGGCCCACTCCCCCCACCCCCCCGTTACTAGGACGCGCAAGTCTAGTCACAGGAATGCAGATTTCGGACTCTTTTGTCCCTTGCCCACGTCCAGCGTCTAGAACAGGCACCAGCATGGCTCAGTGGCCAGCGCAGGGCACCGCCAGGGTCCAGCTGCTGACTGCTCTCGCTGGGGAACTCTGTTTTTCCTAAGGAAGAAAACGTTCCTTTTCCTCCTCCCTGTAGGAAAGCCAGCTGCTGGAAGTAGAAGGAATAAGAGAATCAGACGTTCCGGGTATTGATGGCATCCTTTTATTCTCTCTCCTGCTGCTCTCACCTGGGGTTCGGCTGAGCCTGGAGGGGCCAGCCCTTGGCTCCAGAGAGCAACCGACTTGTTTCTGGTGCACAACCAACCAGTCCCAGGCCCAGTCCCCCCGACGGCCTCCTGCCCACGGGGCCGCCCACACGGGGGCCGCCGCGGCCCCGCCCTGGTCACCAGGCCAGGTATCCGCCGCCCTGCGCCAGAGAAGTCAGCTGGGCTGGGCCTGCTTCCCGGCCTGCCCCGCGCCCCAGGAAGACAGAGACTCTCCTCGTCCATTTCCCTGGGTCCTCCAGCCTCCTGCTGACCCAGCCCCCCCCCCCCCGTGGCCCTCTGTGGGTCCTGCTGCCACCCCCTGGGATCTGCATGAAGCTCTCTCCAGCAGATGTGTCTCTGCTGGCCGACTGTGCCCGAAGAATGGGCCACGCGCTGCTGAAGTGCCCGGCTGGGGGAGGCCTGTCTTTGGGTCAGAGCCGTGAGGTGACGCGCTGCCTGAGGTGGCCGCAGCTGTCCTATGGCACCAGCAGCCCACAGCCTCCACGTGCCAGCAGTGGAAGTGCCTGAGCGTGGAAATGCTGCAGGGCTGGAGGAAAACGAGAGCCTCAGCTGGGGGTGTGGACGCCACATGCTCACTGCGCGACACGGCAGCCAGCCCTGGAGGGGACCCGGCCCGCCGGCCGTCCACGGTCACAGGACGACGCCAGACGGTCACAGGAAGGGGCCGCGTCAGCGTGCGCAGCCCGGGAGCCGCAGAGAGTCAATGCGATAAAGACAGATCGGACGGTTGCTCACACAGGAAGCAGAGAGCGCTCAAGCAGGGCTGACGAGGCGTCTCAGTGACAAACTCCGCACGCCGGTGGCCACAGCCAGTGTCTGCAGCAAGAGGGAGGGGAAGCAGGCACAGGGGAGAGGTCCCTGCAGGGAGGGCCCCGAGACGAAAGCCGGCGGCTGCCGGGGTCATGCCGGGGACCTCCTTACCAGCCTGGACCGCTCACCCTGGACCTTAGTAACAGAGAAGGAAATTTCTACCTGTTAAAGGGAAAACGAAGATCAAAGACTTGGTCGGTGACAGAGGAAGGCCAGGCCTTTGGAGGGACCTTAGCAAACCCTGCTGAATCCTGCCGCCGGGACGCGCTTTCGAGGGGAAGGGCGGGCGAGGGAGGCTTCAGGGGCTTCAGGGGCACGTGCGGGCGGCACACACAGCTGCTGAGGGGAGGAACTGTCACCTGGAACCCAGACAGGGCTACAGTGCAGAGAACAAGTAAAACAACCACGGGCAAGCCTGACGAGGGCCGGGCAGGGCAGCGGTCATTCTCAGAAGCCGTGGGCTCTGCCCCTGGGTAAGTGGAGTCCATCAAGCCCTGGACAGCACATCTAGTTTATGGCACACAGGGACAGGGAACTGTCCCTGAATGCACCACCGGGCAGGGGGCTGCAGAGAGCCCCCGGGAGCTGGTGTCCCCAAAACCAACGTCACGGACAGGTAGGTGGGCTGCAAGACACTCAAGGCCCCAGCTTTGGGGTGTACGTGCCCAGCGGGACACATAGAATGTCTAGGATGTTTTGGGCCATGGGGGAGCTCCCCACACAGTCACAGAGAAAGTGGGAATGGCCGGCACAGGAAGGCAGGCACGAGATGGAATCGTGGGGTGTTCCATGCGTCCTCTGCAAACACCCAGGCGTGTCTCAGACACACTCACACACATGCATGAGGTACTCACACGCGCCTCCTACATGGCGAGTCTGGGGAATCTGCAGGAACTGCACTAAGAGGCTGCACCTGGAGGTCTGTGCGGAGTGAATGGGAGGTTTTCGTTGATTTTTAATGTTTCCTTGCCTGTAACTTAAAATTTTCCTCAATAATCACAGCTCCTAGGATAGAAACATTCACTATAACATTGTTATGAACTTAAAAAGATACTAAATTTTTCCCCTAGAAAGTACAAGCCCAGTACTCCCTGGTGGTGGAACGGGTTAGAGCACAGCACTGTGAAGCTGTCTGCAGCCACTGCAGCACGAGTTTGATCCTGGTCAGGAAGTGACCCACAGGGTGCAGCAGACCTCTCCTGTCTCCTCTTAGCAGTAGATTTCAGTCCATCGGCTTGTCCTGCTCTCCACTTTGTCTCTGGTGAATCCTCTCAGCTTTGGGGTGCCTGGCCTGCACCCCCGTTCTTGTACAGTTAAATCTTTTTTTAAAAAAAGTACAAGCCTGCTACATGACACACACCTCAGTAACATCCTTAAAAATAAAGCACCCAATGCAATGATAGTGCAGGATAGGATAATAAACAGATGGGACCACATCAAGTCAAAGAGCTTCTGTACAGCAGAAGAGACATTACAATAAACAAACAGACATCCCACTGATTGAGAAAAATTTTCTCACACAATACTAACAATAAAAGATTGATCACAAATATATACAATGAACTAATGAAACTCAACAAAAAAAAAAACAACCCCATCAAAAAATGGGCAGAAGAGCTAAAAATTCCAAAGAGGAAATGCAGATGGCCAACAAGCATATGAAAAATTGTTTACCATCACTGTAATAAGGGAGATGCAAATTAAAACCACAATGAGATACCACCTCACCCTAGTGAGAATGGCACATCTTCAAACAACTAGCAACAACACATGTTGGCGAGGATGTGGAGAAAAAGGAACTCTCATGCACTGTTGGTGGGAGTGCAAACTGGTACAACCACTATGGAAAACTGTTTGGAGGTTCTTCACACTGCTAAAAATGGAGCTGCCATAGGGCCCAGCAATCCCACTCCTAGGTATCTACCCAAAGACACAAAAACACTGATTCAAAAAGATACCTGTACCCCCATGCTTATTGCTGCTTTATTTACAATTGGAAAGACATGGAAACAGCCCAAATGCCCAAAAGTGAATGACTGGATGAAAAAGATTTGGTACATAGACACAGTGGAATATTACTCAGCAACCAAAAAGGATAAACACGCCTTTGTAGCGACATGGATGGAGCTGGAAGGAAGGGATTGTGCTTAGTGAAGTAAGGCAGAAAGAAAAAAATACCAGATGGTTTCACTTATAGTATAAGGACCAGGGGAGTAAAAACAATAATAATGAACAACTATATACCAGAGACACTTTATGGGGGTGGAGTGGGGAATGGGACCAAAAATGGGGGTGGAGGGGAAGATGTGCAGTGGACTGTGATGATGGCACACGGGTGATTTGGTGATGGGAAGCCCACGGGGATTACAACTGAGATGGAAAAAGGAATAAAATGATGTAAAAATAAACTATTTTAAAAAGTAAGTACAAGCCCAAGAGAAGCAAAAGAACAAAGGCCCCTTTCCTGCGTCCCCGTGGTGTGTGTGTGTGTGAAGGGGGGGGGGTGCTGTCCTCCCGTGCTGGGACTGCTGCTGGGGCCTCTGCCTTCCCCTGGCCTGGCCAGTGTCAGGCTGCTGCCCAGCAGGTGGAGAGGCCTGGGCCCCTGGAATGCCTGGCCTCGCTCCTTGGAAGTGCAGCCCCTGGGGGTGTCTTCTTGTATTTCTTTTAACAGTGTTTTGTAATTTCCTTCACTTTTCTTAAAGATTTATCTATGGATACAAGAGCTGGGGTGTAGGCCAGAGGTGCAGGGGTGAGAGGATTCACCAGAGTGGGGAGCAGAAGACGAGATCTGAAACCCACTGTGGGGAGCAGTGTGGAGACAGGGAGAGGTCTGCTGTACCCTGTGGGTCACTCCCTGGCTGGGGACGGGCCTCATCTGCAGTGGCTGCAGACAGATATGGATGGCACTGAGACTTGAGCCCTGTGTCAACAGGGAGGCCCTAGTGATGTTTTCTTTAAACCAAAATTCTTGCTCTGAACTGAGATTCCGGCCCAAGGAGGCCAGAAAGACTGCTGGGCCTTGAGGCCACCCAGATAAGGTAAACTGAGGCTGACGACAGTTTTGGGGCTGAACATGATGACCACCAGGACCATCTGCTCTGACGAGCTGTCTGCTATGGCTGTCTCTGACCCACTGGACCAGGCCCACTGGAGACGGGCAACACTGTCGCTGCATAGCTTCAGGGCCACGAGGGGACGGGTTCTTCTGGGGCTCTGACCGCTGCCCTCAGATCCACAGCGGGTAAGCTAAAAATTAAAAGCGCTTCTAGATTCCATTCCTGTCTCTGCTTCCTGGTCTGGTAGCAACAGGCAGCACCAAGAACTCAGGCCCATTCTGCAGGGAGTGGGAGGGCTCGGAGGTGTGGACGACAGCAGGGCCAGGCGCCTGCCAGAGCTCCCGAGCTGGGAATCTACTTTTACGGAGCTGAACCACTGCTGCGGCAGAGCCTGGCACACGTCCGCATGTGAATAGAACCCATGGAATACAGATACATTCTCTTTCACTCAAGATTTTCAGTTCATTGGCCTGAAAAAATGGGGTGTCTGCTGCACGTGGGGTTTATTACAGTAGGTCACCGGAGACAGCAAGGCTGAGTACCAGCAGGACCGTGGCCAACTCGGCCTGCGCACAGGCCCGTAGGGGCTTCGCCATCCTATGTCCACTCTGGGGCCCTGAGGGCGAGCAGGGCCAAGGCTGGGCACCCACACCTCCAGGGGATCACCGCTTCTTCTTCAGCCGTCACGCCCTCACTTATACCACGGGCACCGGTAGGTCCCAGAGCCTGGCCCGGCCTCACTACGCGGCGTCCCAGAGCCAAAACGTGGGCGGCCACCCCGGCAGCCCGTGTGCAGTTTCCTCCTGCTGCCTCTGATGGGATGGCTTCGGTCCAAGTCTCAAGGTGAAGACACCTGAAGCCTCCCACACCCGGGAACCTGCAGGAGGGAGGCTCCCTGCCGAGCGGCTTCAGCCTTCACCGTGTCCACCCGTGTGCCACGCACGCCGATGGGAGTCGCCTCAGACTGGTGAGTAGGCACCTGGCATGACTTAGCACTGTCCTGGGACGTGATCGCGGCAGAGCAAGTTTAAATCCCCTGCTTCTGAGAGGGGGTCCGCCCCCCAAAGCAGACCACACTGTACCACCAGCTGTCACCCCAGCAGTCACTTCCCGAGGGCACTGGCTGGGAAATAAAGTCCCCACTTGGTTTTGGGGCTCACTCCTGGAGGCAGCAGAGCCCCTCAGTGACTGGGTGACCAGAGACTCTGTGAGGAGGGTCCCCATGTCGAGATCCCTCCCCCCACCACCACCATGCTCGTGCACGGAGAGCAGAGGCCGAGGCCACGGAGCTCCTCCTAGGCGGGAGGGAGTGAGCCACTGCGACACTGTCCTGGACAGGCTGCCAGTGTCCCCTGCTCACACTCGAGTTGTGGGGTAAAGCCATTGCTCGGCTACCCCAGGGAGCTTTGGCGTCGGCCTGGACGGCAGACTCGGGGTTCCTGGGGGCGCACAGCTGCCTGCTCAGTGTCTGAGTTGCCATGAATTACCCCCGAGGTAATTCATGCCCCACAGCAGAGGCAGCCTGGAGGCCTCACGACGCTGACGCCAGGACCAGGCCTTCAGTGGTGCGGCACGGAGCAGCCGAAATGGCGGGGAGACCCTCCCCCAGCCGGGGAAGGTCGGGGGTGAGGTGGAACCAGATAGCCGGTCTCCACAGGCCCTCATGACTGGCCTCACGGGATGGCCTGAAAGAGAGAGACTGGGAAAGTGGCCTCGTTATTACAAAGGAGCAAGTTCCAGGAGAAACAACACAAGAAACAGCCTTTTCTCCCAAAAGGATAAAGAATAAAATAACCATCAGGAGGCACAAGTGTGAAAAGCATAGAATAGATCTCTTTATTTACAATCAAGTTGGGCAACATTAATTAAATAAATAAAAGACGTGCCCGGCCGGTGCTTCCGCCTTCCTCTGACCCTTACCTTGCCCCAGGAAGGCGGGTGGGCGGGCGGGCAGGCTGGAGGGCGGCGGGGAGACGCGCCCCTCAGGAACAGCCCTCCTTGCCTGCTGCCTGCATGCACACCCACTACGCCCACCACAAAGTTAGGAGGGGAAAATAAAGTGCAAATCAAAGTGATAGAAATATTGGTGTCTCAGTCACTCAAAGAAATAAAAATTGAAACACAGGTATAACGGTAAAGATAAATGTTAAAAAAAAAAAAAGCCACAGGCCATTTTCCTGGCCTTGACCACAAGCCCTGAAGTCGAAAGATGCCCTCAGGCTTCCCAGACGAGTGGGCTTCTGGGACTAGAGCACCGCGGGGCACCAAGCAGGCCTGGGGGCGGGACTGCAGCCCGGCCCAGGGTGAGCGGCCGGGCCAGGCCTGGCCCGGCCCTCGTCACTGCCCTGTGGCCACTTATCTGGAGAGCGGTGGCAGGAACCCACCTGGTGTAAGGGGGTGGGGGACAGCTTCTCTGGTCCTGCCACTCTACCAGGCTTTTGCACTTTTCCTACCTTGAAAAACGAATCTTTTTAAAATATCGAATTGAGATCTTCTTCATACATGTGCAGAATCGTTGGGGAAAGGAGCAGGAATGCCAGCCAACGGCTGCCTCCCAAGCACGGCGGGAGGCCGAGTGGTGTCCGCAGTGACCAGATACCCGGAGCCGGGCCAAGGATGGAGCCAGCAGGGGACTGAGCCCTGGGTGGCCTAGAATCAGGGGGGCCCCTGTGTTCTGGTTCTGTCCATCCAGTGACGGCGGGTTCCCCAGGGAAGGAGCCCAGGAGCAGGACACGCCAGGGCTAGGCTGCTAGGAAGGGGTCAGAGGAAGCGCAGGGGAGGACTGAAGCCCAGGTGTGGGCCGTTGGCACTGCCGCCGGTGAGGCGCGGCGGAGCCCGCGCCCCGAGGTATGGAGACCAGGGCCAGTAGTGTTTCCCACCTGAGTCCCGTGAGCTGAGAACCTGTTCTCTGCCGGAGGCAGATTCTCTTCAGTGTCACTTTCTGAGGCCGTGGGATGTCAGTCAAAATCCTCAGAAATCCAACTGGAGGCAGGCTGCTGGGCCCAGGCCAGCGTCTCCTCTGGAAGGTTAAGCCAGGCTCACACCAGCTGCCTGACGGCGCCCCGGAGCCCACGTGGCGTGGCGCGGCGCGGCACGGCACGGCTGGCGCCTCTCCCAGGCAGGCGCTGTCAGTAGTCCGACCACAGCACGGCTTTGCTTCCCTTGTCCACACTGACCACGTGCGAGCCGGAGGGGGACCACGCCACCGCATTGATCGAGGAGCTTCAAAGGGAGAAGCCTGCAGTCAGGGAGCATCTGGGCGCTCCCCAAGGCCTTGGACCCTGGCCGCCATCACAGAACCAGGACAGGAGGAAGCTGCCCAGCCCGCCAGGAAGGAAAGGAGCCGACGGCGGCAACCGAGCTAGAGTGCACAGCGCTCAGCGAATCAGGCAGAGACGGACTCGCAAGTAGCCCGGGCCGGGGGAGCCAGGAGGGCTGGCGGGCAGAACACGCTAAGCCGGCCTGGCCGGCCACGGGGTGGAAGGCAGCAAGCAATGCGGAAATCAGCGTTTCCAAGGTGCCCAGTGCGGGGCCCCAGCTTCTCTCCACTGACCCAGCTTGGAGAGGGGCAAGGAGGGGCCCCTGCCCTGAAGGCCACCCTGGGCCAAGTCGGGGAGACGGGGCAGGGGAGGCGCGTGGCCGTGTCAGCTCACCTGTGATGCTTTGACAGGACCTTCTCCACCTTCCCAGAGAGCACGCTCCAGACGTAGAGCGCACCCTCAGCCGAGCCTGCTGCCACGTAACTGCCGTCGGGGCTGCGGAAGGGTCAGGCGGGAGGTGTCATCCCCCACTACGCCAGCAGGCCGGGGAACCTTCTCCCAGAAGTAACCTCTCCTCACCGAGTCAAATGCAAGACAGCGCAGCTGCCTCCCCGCTCCTCGGCCTCACCCAGCCGGCAGGGGACAGAGCCACCACATTACTTCTGGGGCTAGTCCTTAACCAGGACACAGGAGCTCAGAGTGAACCCCAAAAGCAAGGGCCTCTTTCTGACTGACTGCTATCACAGGCTCACAGTGAGCAGGGGTGGTCGAGCAGCTTCTCTACCAGCGGCGCCGCGTGGGGAGCAAGGAGAGCTGGGAGTCAGGCCACCTTGGGGCAGCTCCTCCAGCAGCCGCCAGCTCTGCCCGGGCGGCCCGCCTGAACGTCTCAACTAGGTCTCACACGGCCCGTGACGTGCCCGTGCGGAACAAGCCGACACTGCTACACTGCTACCTGGGGCGGCGGCTACCCCACGTGATCACAGAAGCACCAGGCAGGATGGCAGCGCAGGGACGGTGCCCAGTGATGAATGTCTAAGCTCAGTCTCTCACTGGGCCAAGGCATATGGAAAGCGAACTTGCTTCCCCGGGAAAATGCCCAGGCTGCCCTGCGGGGTGCCACGGGGTGGGGGTGGGGGAGCCCCACTACTGACCTGAACACCACTCGCGTCCAGTCTGAGCCGCACTTGAACCCGGGCGCGCTGAAACAAACAGGGGCTCCCGTCACGGAGGCCTGCGCAGGAGCGGAGGCGGCGCCCGCGTGGCCCGCCCGTTACCTGAACGTCTGCCTGACAGCGTTTACTCGCAGATCAATGATCTTGAGCAGGTCGTCACGGGAGCAGGTGAGCAGCTCAGTCCTTTCCGGGTTCAAGTCCAGAGCAGTGACCTTTCCTAGCAACTCCATCTCTCGGACTATACTCTCTGACCTAAGACAGACATGGAACGTCTCAGAAACCCTCATACGGGAAGGGCAAGTGTTCCCGTTAGCCAGGATGTCAAGCCACGCAGGAGCGGGGACCAGGCTGCTCAGCCACCACGACCTCGGCGAGGCTGCTCCGGGCGTGGCCGCGGCCGTGCTTCTGAAGACCAGGTCGGACTTGCTGCGCACGACCTGTCTTTCTCATTTGTTGAACAACAAAGAAAATCAGCTGCTCGGCACGCGGGAACCGGGGCCACCACCCGCCAGCTCGGCCTGGGGACAGCGTTTCACCTGTCTGAGGCCGTCTGGCCCTGCCAGCTCAGCTCGGCGAGTCGAGGGTGCCTGCGGGTGGTGCCGCCCCAGGCACTGAGCGCCCCCCTCAGCCCCTCAGCCCAGCCGCGCCCAGCCTGTGCCCACCATCCGAGGCAGGGCTCCAGTATGACCGCCCCAGGCGGCCTCACCCTCCCCCGCCCCTCCAGCAGCTTTCAGGGTCACTGTGTCCAGTGTGGGCCTCAGGGAACCTTCTCCTTGGTACACTCACAGCCTGAGCAAATTCATCCACTTCTCTGGGACGCGGGGTCCTTCTCAGGCTAGGGGTGGATTAAGTGATGTGGACCCCAACATCCAATTAGAAAATTCCACTTTCCAACTTCAAAATTTCAGGTTTTGAAGAGGTAAAGCTGTGAATTTTCTGCAGGCTGTCTAGGCGCCTGGGTCATTTCTAAGCTTCACCCAGAGCACGGACTCCGCCCGCTGCACCCCCAGCCCACCACCGGCCTTGTCCTAACCACCAGCCAAGCTCGCCCCGCGGTCCCCGCCTGCTGTTTCCACACAACAGGTCAAAGAGCCCCACTAAACTGGCACACACCCCCACACCCCTGCTGACTGCTTGAGTTCAGGTCCACATCATTTCCCCCCTCATTTCCCTGCACCCCAATAAAACCGCCACCAAGCAAACCTATTGGATGCCTGGGACGCCACTACACCCGTCAGCCGTCGGACAAGGCCAAACCGCCCGCCGCCGCGCAGGCGCTCACAGCCAGCTCCGCACGCTGTCTCTGCCTGCCCTCCCCACGAGCCCTGCCGGGACACCCTCTGCCCTGGTCTGGGCCTTCTCCAGAGGCCTTTCTACAGTGTGACGGCTGCTCCGTGCCAAGACTGGTGTCGGGCGCTGGCCTCCGCCACGGCCTGTCCCCCCGCTGCGAGCACTGTGGCCGGCCGGCCTGGCACCCGCCAGCCCACAGCTCCCGCGCGAGCTCGGCTGAGTGCACCACGACCTCACGGCGCACCGCAGGGCTGTCAGGATGCCTGTGCCCGCGGCTTTCTTCTGCCCTCTCCAGGACATGGAAACAGCCCACTCCCTGGCTGTTCTACCGTGTGTGATGACCCCCACCCCAAATCTTGGGGGTCATACCGGATGTCCCAGAAACGAATCTTCTTGTCAAAATGTCCGCTCATTACACACTGCTCGGTGCAGACAATATCGTTGCAGCTGGATCCTGCGAACACCGTCTTTATGCCTGAAAGAAAACCCAACCGTGGCTGTCAGAGAGGCCGGTGCCCACGAGGCAGCATCACTACCTCCCCTCAGGATCAGCCCTGCTGCATAGGGATGTGGCTACCATGACTGACTCTTTGCCCAGCACCCTGCCTATGAAACCCGACTTCAAAGCAAACAGCACCCCCGAATGCTGGCTGTAATGGGGGCAGACACCCGGGATCACATCTGTTTGCACACACAGAGAGACTGAATTTCCTCACAGACTTTGCTGCGGAGATCCCAGAGTTTGAGGGTCCGGTCATGGCTTCCAGAGACAATACGCGCGTTGTCCAGCAGGAACTTGGCCGAGAGCACCTTGCCACTGTGCCCCGTGAGCGTGTGCTGGGAGAGAGAACACCGTGGGTCAGCTCTGAGGGCCTGTCCTGACGCTCGGCCCGGCCGGCTTCTCTAAATGCTCAGGGGCTGGTCAAGAACGCTGAGACAAACCAGGGCACCGGGGGAGCCAAAAAACTGACAGTTAGGTGCTGCCTCGGTGAGGTCACCGAGAGGAAGAGGCTACAAAGCGGCCCAGCAGACGAAGGACATAAGTGGCCGCGTGGCTCGATGAAGGGGAGCCGTCAGCGCCCCGGCCGAAACCAGCCCCGTGCCAGGTGCTGCACGAGCTGCTTGCAACTTGCCCATGGATGATACAAGTCTTTAAAATCTCGGCCAGACCCCCAAACCTGCCTGCGGTGGTGCAGTTTCGGTGCTAGAAGGACCTTTAAAAAACAGGTATTTCCATGTTTCGGATATCCCACTTTCTCAAAGAAGTTGAATAGAAAATTCTTGGTGTTAGGCGCTAGTGATGTCGCAGGTCTGGGCTCCCTCAAGCAACAGGCTACCTGTGCCGAGCTGCGCAGGCGCAGGCCTCCGACTGAAACCGTCCTCACACGGGGAGGTGCCCCGCTCCTCAGTTTAGCCAGGCCTCAATCCAAGATTCTTGTGTGAGCCCTGAATGCAGGCACATTTGGGGTCTACCTGAGCTTTTTATTTTTTCACTTAGTTACTTTTAAAGATGTATTTATTTAAAGATTAGAACTGGGGTACAGGCCAGAGGTGCAGGGGCAGTAGAGGATTCCCCAGAGACAGAGTGGGGAGCAGAACAGGTGGATCCACTGAAACACACTGCTGAGGGGAGCAGGGGGGAGACAGGAGAGGTCTGCTGTGCCCTGTGGGTCACTCCCTAGCCAGGGCTCGGGCTCCTGCTGAAGCAGCTGCAGCGAGCTTGTAGTGCTGTGCTTTACCCTGTTGTGCCACCAGGGAGAGAGAGCCCTGAAGATTTTTACTTATTATTGCATACAAAAACTGGGGTGCAAGCCAGAGGTGCAGGGGGTATGAGGATTCACTAGAGACAGAATGGGGAGCATTCCATTGAAATATACTGTTGAGGGGCGAGACAGGAGAAGTCTGCTGCGCCCTGTGGGTCCCTCCCTGGCCAGGGATCGAACTCGTGCTGCGGTGGCTGAGGAGAGCTTCATGGTGCTGAGACTTTATAACCCCTGTGCCACCCAGGAGGCCCTAGCTGAGTCTTTTTAAATATTTGATTTTAGCCAGTGCCTCTGGAAGTCAGTACAGACAGGGTCACTGCATGCAGGTTTCCGGGAGGAAATGCCAGGGGCCTTCCCACCAAGCGTGAAACTTCAGCTCTGAACGCAGATACCAGCTTTCCCAGCACCCTCCTGGGCGACTGCTGCCAAGGAACTATGCCCAAGAGGTCAGTTCTGCTGCCACACATGGTTCGGGGGCAGAGCGGGGGCTTAGCGCTGACCTCTCCTCACTGAGCGCACCAGAGCAGGACAAAACCTCTACTGACAGAAAACCAATCCCCACGGCCTGAAGGGGCTCACTGACATTTTCTTTCTTCTCAGGAGAAAAAAAGACACTCGAGTGCCTCCCCACAGGCCCTTCTCCCTCTGAAATGGGGAGTTGGTGCGACTCAAAGGCTCCTGCACTGTGTCCCCCTGACACCTTCCAAGTGCAGCGCCCACTGCTGACCTCCCCCTCCCTGGCCCTCCAGAAAGGAAGAACTCTGGGGTGACGTGAAGTCAGGAGTGGAGGTGCCGCTAAGCCCCCAGCCTGGGGAACGGGGCAGCGAGACACAGGACTCAGGGAGGCGCTCCCCAGCGGCGTGAGCGGAATCTCGGGGAGCACTGCTGCTGTTCCACCCCACACCTCACACTGTGCACGTACCTCTGTCGCGATACTACAAGCCAGCGCCCCACCCCACCTGGGTCTCCTGAGGACTGAAAGCGAGCACATACACAACACACTGCAGCTCGGGCCCGACGCGTGGTGCGATTCAGGCAACCCCCCTTTCTGCTGCAAACGGATGGCGGCAGAAGTCCTGACCATGTCTCGCGTGGGCTGGAGGGGCTGTAGGAGGGTGGGCCGGGAGGCAGCCTCGAGCAGGCCAGCAGCCTCCCTGAGGCGCAGGCGCCTCAGACTTGGCCTGGAGACCTGCGCAAGGGCTCCACAGAGGCAGCCTGAGGCCTGCGGGGAGCCCAGAGAGCCTGCAGGTGCCACCTCCCCGGAAGTGGGGCCCTCAGCTCTCAACACGACTAACATCTAACACTAAGAGTTTCCCACTCAACTCCTCAGAAAATGGGAAATCTAAATAAACGTGGAAATAGCTGTTTTTAAGGATCCTTCCAGCTCCATCCCTAACAAATCACATCAGACTCCTAACAGATTGCTTCCTGCTGTCCCCACATGCCCCGAGATCTGTCTCTAAGAAGTTTAAATTAACACCACGCCCTGTTTTTATATGGGGTGACACACGAACGCTTGCATTATACTTTTTTTGGGTAAAATGCCAACCAGAGTATCGAGTTCCTCCTCCACTCACCCTTCCAGCAGCCTTTATTGATGAGGTCCTGTGCTCATTCCTTCAGGCTGAAGGAACAACATCTCCAAATTGAGATGTGTTTTTCATTAGAACAAAACTAATGTGTCCATTAAGGATGTGACCTTTGTCTTGGGTGACTGGGATGCTAACGCGGGTGGATGCAACGCCGGGCCCATCCCCTCATCCTTGCTTGCACCTGCCTTCCAGGTAAGCCCCCAGAGCCACGGCCTCTGCCTCAGTGTGTCGTGTGAACGCCCAGAGCCCACTCCCAGCCGCCGCCGTGGCGGTGACAAGTCCTGGAACCTGGAGGCTGGGCTGGTGTGTGCAGGTAAGCTGGACCGCTAGCCAGAGTGTGACTCCCCTGAAGAGGAGAAATCTGTGCGGGCTCCCCTTAAGTGGAGTCCTGGATAAAACACAAGTGTAAAGTGGAGAACGAAGGAGGAAAAGGGAGGCCGGGGACTCAACACAGCAAAATTCCCAGGAACACAACACCTAGCTCATCCACCTGACATCTGCATTCTGTCTCGACACCACCAAGTGGGGAGGCTGAACCAAGTCTCTTAACTCGGCCTTACCCGTAACCGATAATCATCCACCGTCCAGATTCGGCTTGCGAAGTCATTTGAAGCCGCTAAGAGGTAAGATCCCTACAGAAAAAAGAGGGAGAGGGGAGGGAAACAAACTTTGGCCAAAACAATGTAATTCGCAAAAGTCCTTCAATAACCAAGACCGAGCAACCAACACCCCCACCCTGAACCCCCTCTTGCCACCAGGCGCCCCCCATTCCAGGTCGTGCAGACTCCTCCAGCTCACAGACCCTTCCTCCCAAGTCAGTCCCTGTGCCACCACCTTCACAGCAGCAACTACCAATTCTCTACCCATGGCCCAAACCACCGGCCTCACAGGCACTCTCCGCTTTCCCACAGGCCCGCCGGAGACCCCACTCAGCACAGCCGAGGTTCCTAGAGGCCCCAAGTGCTTCCACACAATCAGTATCTGACCCACACGGCATCTCCCAGCCACATTTACTTATCACCCCCAACGAACCAAGCAGCACTGACCCAGACTCCCAAGGAGCAGCTCTGCTCTGAAAACGCCTGTGTGAGATGAGATGTGAGGGGAACACCACAGCCACGCAGGGAGCAGGCCCTGACTCTGGGAGGTGAGCGGCGACTCTTCCTGTGCCCAGCTCTCACCTCCAGCCCACCCCCGAGTCAGCCCTGCCCAAACTGCCCCCCTGCACTGGCCATCTGGATTCCCACACTGCTCCTTAATCTCCGCTGTCATGGTTTACAGAGTGGACCGTTGGTCAGGGATTCGACGCACCTGCCTGGAGCACAGGACCCAGGACTCAAAACCCAACTGGGAGTGGGATCGAGAGCGCTAAGTCAGCACAGCCAAGCGTGAGTTACCCCACCCGCGGGAAGGCTAGCCACTACACCCGCGAGTTCCGTAACAACTTGCATCTTCCTCTAACTAGACATGGCTCCAAAACACAGCGCAGAGAGGCCACACATAGACCAGTGTCAAGAACCAGTGAGTTTTAAGCCCCCTAAAATTACCTATTTCTGTGAATGTTAAGACACTTACAGCGCTGTCAAACTCGATGCTTGTAATTCCCGCGTTACTGCCGGACAGGGACCCCTTGAACTCACATTTCTCTGCATAAAGAGACGGAAAAGAGAGCAGAGTCAGGCAGACATAAAGTGAGGGGAGGGTGGCACTGGGGTGGGCAGGAGTCAAGGGCATCTTCAAAGCAGCCGCCAGCAGGGGCCGAGTCAGAGACCAGGACGCCCAGCCGGAGGCAGCCTGTGGGGAGCGGAGGGGCCCCGCTTTGTCCACACGTGCCCCTAAGCTGCTCGAGGCATTTACAGCTGTCAAGTCCCTTATACAGAGGACTTTAAAACCAGATCACCCTGGAGGCAGCTTACGGGCACAGCCATTTCTGTGGCTGCTTGCGGCCGGCACATGCGTCCGGGGTCCGACTGTACGTGTGCCGACGCGTCACTTTAAGAAACAGACTGCACGTTTTCAGAATCCAAGGTGTGACCATTCTGAGACCTGAGTTTAAGTTATATTTAACTGCCTGCCCACCAGGTGTCAGGAAAGCTAGCCCGGAGCCGCGGGCGTGGGTCCTTCCTCTCCCTCACCTCCACGGCCTAGTGTGACGCCCCCATCCGGTGCTTCACCAGCAGACCCATGACAGGTCCCCTGGCCCAGGTTTCAGACAGCTCTGGCCACCTGAGGAAACTCAATGATTCAGGCACAAATATGGAGGGGTAAATCCCAACGGTAGTGTGTCTGAGGCTCTTTAACGGGAGTGGTGTGGGGTGACCGACCAGGCAAGCCAGGGCCTCCCTTGCTGGCCTCGGGGTTATGTCTCAGCACTGCTGACCGCCACAGCCTGAATTCCACCCAAGCCAGGCAGTGACCCCGGGCGCAGCAGACCTCTCCTGTCTCCCCGCTGCTGCCCTCAGCAGTGTGTTTCAGTGGATCCGCCTGTTCTGCTCCCCACTCTGTCTCTGGGGAATCCTCTCATCCCTCCATGCCACTAGCCTGCACCCGGCTCTTGTATGCATCAGTAAATATAAAACAAATCTTTAAAAAACTGTAACTGAGTCCCAAAATGTCAATATTGGGCTACTCCACTTTCAAAATTCCAAGAAACAGTTATTCATAACTCCCATTTCTTGTCTTAATGAAACTCAACCTCACTGAAGAGACCTGACCTCAGGTGCTCTGTCCCACAGGCTGCTAATCTACTTTCTCCAGGCGGCCCTCCACCTTTTATTCTCAGCTATGAGTGTGGTCAGTCCCCCAGGCCAGTGGCATCACCAAATACACATAGCAGAGCTCAACGTCCAGTTCAGAATCCCCTGACCTGAAAGGGGGGTTATTTTTCCTTTTGAAACTGGACTACCTGGGAGATAGCCTGATTAACATGTATTTGAGAAACCAAGTGAGAATAAAGGCTTCATTTAACAGCAATTCCTGACCGCTGCTCGGAAACTGGGTGCCAGTCTCCGCTGGGGTGTGAGGAGGGACAGAGGGCTCCACGATGCGCTCTGGTTGGACAGTTCCCACGCCACGCGCGGGGCTAGAGACGCAGCTCCTAGAGACACGGGACGGACGTCAAGGCCGACCCCGTCTCCCCTCTGCTCCCTCCACGCACCCCAGGGGCCCTCACCTCCGAACACCTCCCAGAGCTTCACCCTGCGATCCATGCCCCCAGTGGCCAGGAGCCGGGAGCCGGGGCCGAACTGCACCGCGTTGACTTCCCCGTCATGCGCGTCCTGCAAGACAAGCGCTGGCATTAGAGCCGGCACACTCTGGGTGTCTACCCACAGCTTACACGCCCACCTCTGAGGACAGGACTGGAGGGCCCCATCATTAACTCGGACCCTTGGCTCAGGGCTTCTTTAAGAATCTTAGTAGTCTTAAGAGCTGCAGTTCCATTTACTTAAATACAGTACAAACTTCTATTAGAAAAATTTTAAAATCTATTAACTGCCTAAAATTTGCCTTTGCATTAACTTTATTCCTAAGACTAATGAAATTTTGATCTTATGTTCAATTTTGATCTTAATGGCTTAAGCAAGCCTGATCTGCTTTGGTGCTAATCACATGCATGCTACCCGTTGAACTGAGTGCCCCAGTCCTGGGTGGCATGGCTTTCAGAGTGCCTAAACATGAGGAGACGCCCGCCCATCACCACACGCTGTCATGTGGGCTCGACACGGCTCTCTGCAGAGACTCGGCCTGCCGTGTGGCCTGCGCGCGTGTCGACTTCAGGAAAGAGCCTCTGCACGTTTTGTGGCCTAGGACTGTGCCCGACCAGGAGCAGCCCTGCAATCAAACACAGGTGCGACTCAGGGCCACCGAAACACCTGCCTGGGGCACACGGTGGCCGAGACTGGTATCCACACCGGAGCACACAATCTGAAGATGTCATTTTTGTTCCAAATGAGAATGGAACCCAAGGGAAAAGCGTCCCATCTTAGAAGGGGGAGCGAATGCTCGGAGATGTCACTGAAGCTCTTCTCTGGAAAGACTGGACACCAATGCCGGTGACCTGCCCAGGATCTGCTCTGCATTGCTCCAGCGAGCTTGGGAGGAGACTGGACGAGGGGACCCATACTCACTCCCCTCCACTGCCGTAACTTCTGTAATTCCTGAGGTGGGAAGGTGAGTGGGGCGTGTGCCTGCATGCGCTCTGGGACACAGGCACTATAAATGCCCACCATTCACCAAGCCCTCAATCACTCGCTTAAAGGGTCCTTTTGAGAAGACAAAAATCTGCTCTTCACACTTGCTTGAGACTGAAAGAGGAAGGTGTTTGTGGAGTTACAAATTGAGACTCTTAAGCAATAGGAGCTGTTACTACTCTGCCTGGTGGTGATTTCTCAGCAACCCCCCCCCCCATCCCACTGCTGTGAAGCTGGCCATCAGTGGCCAGACCCCAACTCCAGCACGTCCTGCCCCTCACGCTGCCTGCCCGCGTAGGAGGTCTCAGATTGAAAACTTGAGATCATGCACATCACACCCAGGGCTGCCGCTCATCACTCTCCTTCTGGACCTGGTTCTGTTGGACACACGTCAGCTGTGATTCGCTCACTCTCAGAAGCACACACTGACAGGATCCCAAATTATCAGCCGCCCCACTGTCCCATACACATGACTTAAATGTGAAGGGAGGCAAAAAAATGGGCCGCTGGGAGCTGAGGGCAGCGCAGGGGCTGCGATATCAGTGCAATCAGACCTTTTACCAATCATCACTGACCTCCGTGAGGGAGTGGAGGAGACACCCTGGTGCCCCACTGACTTTTCATCCAGAGTGGGGTTCCTTCACAAGGTCCAAGAACCACTCAGCCAGTGACGGTGTAGAGACCCCTAACTGCTCAAGCTCCTTCCTCCTTATGCCTGGAACTAAGAACTCCCCCAGAGAAACCCCATCGTTTTTATAGCAATTCCACTCCCTTGTAAGCTGGCTCCTCTAACTCAACCCCACCAGATGGGCTCAACTGCTGACCTCTGCCTTCTGCCTACCCTCAGCCTCCTGGAGCCCCAGCAGAGGCTCAGCCCAGTGCCCGCTATCTCCCCAAGGCTGGCTCAATACCTGCCCCGCCACCTCAGTGGGACCCAGATGCCCCAGCCGTACTAGGACCTGGCTCCAGGTCGGACCTGGACCATCTCCAGGTCGGACACAATTCCCGAAGTCGAGAGCTACGCTGCCGATCGCTGCCGACCTTCTGAAACAGACCAGCGATTACTTTCTAGACTGGGACCAACTGGTGATGACTGTATGGAGTCCCAAATTCTTACCAGACCCATTCCTCACCCTGCCGGCCGGCCTCAGGCAGGCCTGTGCTCAGAAGGCAGCTGCTCCAGGCCTGCTCCCGCCCCGACGGCACGCGGGAGGCGGAGCCTGACGCACAGTGGGCGGGGCCTAGGACAAGCGTACTCACAAAGACAAACACCGCGGTTGTTGGCACCCGCACTTCTTTACTAGAACCAGGGTGAGTGTCCACATTGTCCGGGGGCACTGGGAAGGAAGAGACAGAGCGCCTCCTGCGAAGCAACAAGAGAGAGTATCAGACAGGCCCGCATGGCTCACTGTCCATCATACTCAGAAGGGAGTCAAAGACAGCATTTAACTTTCCTCTTGTAGAGCTTTCAGTAATGTGCCCATTCGGAAGCGTACTCACTCAAACGGCCACTGGCCAGGGAGGCTTGCTGGCTCACAAACACCCAAGCTCAACCGAGCAGAGTCCTGGACAACCACCGCGTTTCCAGCCAGTTAGCTGCTAGAAAGCGCGCTCAGCCTAATGTTAACTGCTGGCTTGGAAGGAGCTGCTTGCCATCTTATACAACTATTTTAACACGATCTCTGTGGCTCATTAAAATCGTCCTCAGCGTACACTGGTGGTCAAGGAGGCATCGAACACATGCCAAAGAGTGAGCAACAAGGGAGTGATTACAAGAGCTCAACCAGCTTGCGCCAGAAGGCTGACCTCATTTCTAGGAGCATGCAAAGCATCCTGGTTAGCACGTGGACATCCGGTGAGAGGGCAGTGAAGCGGCGATCAGCACCATTACCAACCACCCACAATGGCATGCGAGGCTGAGAGAGGAATGGATTTTCACCTGGCAGCATCAGAAGAGTGATGTCCCAAAAGGGGAGACTCGGACAGACTAAAGGGTAAGGCCAGAGATCAGCACGCAGCGATATTAAGAGAAAGGAAGTTGAGGGAAAAAGGAAGAAGCCGAAATTCAGGCATCTTGTAGTCTGCACCACTGAAATTCTGGTGTACATTTACAAATCGATCATAAATCACGTACGTATTCTTAGGTTCATTTACATACATATTAACAAGGAAAGGCAGTTTTCTAACCTACCCAAAGATATTAGTGATAGAATCCAGAAGGCCTCCAGCAGGCTGCGAGAGTCGCTTACTAAAGAGGAGGGGAGGATAGGTTTAAACCTTAGAAACATTTGCCCAAATAATTAATCAACAACAATAATCCACAAAAACAGGTACCTGGAATGTTTCCCATTGAGCCCCAAACCGCTGCAAGAAACCCATCACGGCACTGAGCCACCAGGAAACAGTGGGAAGGTAGGAGGGAGAACCCAGCCTCAAAGTTTTAAAAGAAGCAAGGTTGCCTGGCATCACACCTGCTCCCCAGACCACGCTTCCCCAACACTAAGCGCCCACGGCCTTCTGGCCTTGGGCCAACCTCCACCTGTATGCGATGGGTGGTCAGGTGGAGGGTGAAGAGTGGGGGGCTAACCCTGTATATACATATGTAAGAGCAACAATGTAACCCAAAGTTCAAACAAATAACCAATCCCCATTTGTTCAGACCTGCCTTAGCCCTCAAGGAAAGCCCTGAGCCCCAGGAGCATTATCAAAAACAAGCCCCTGCCTGGTGTGGGTAACTGGCCTAGTGCGCACCTGGCCCTTCCCAGCAGAGAGAGGCAAAGTGCATGAGGGGACAACAGAGCCTTGCTCTCCGCAGCTGCACCAGAGGCCAGGATTCTAGGGGGCTGGGCCCGGGATGACATGCTCTCCCCAACTGTGGCAGGGCCCCGCCCCCCCCAACACTCACGTGGCCGCTCGGCTGATGGCTCGCACAGGGGAGGTCTCCTCAGGGTGATCCGAGGTTTCATCCACAATGACTTCGATGTCATCGTCCCTGAAAAGAGCAGAGGCCGCACCTGTGATGGGGTTGCAGGCGCTCGCTGAGGGCTGCTCTGCATTCCCCAGCCACACGCTGTGGCCTGGGCTCCAGGGCTGGCGGAGGCTTCTCTGGAGGAAAAGAAGGAGCTGCACAGGGTGACCCTGAAAGAACCGTGGGCCATCCACATCACATCCAGGGAGCCTTCGGCAGGATGACACCAGACTCTCGGGGGTGAACCCAGAAGCACGTCAGACACTGACTCTCAACATCTTGCACCCAGAACCTATCACGCTATAAACGAATTTTACTTCCATGAAAAGCACGTTCAAAAAAGTGCTTCTGATCACGTGACCCTTTCCGGCGGAAACCCAGCTCCCACGCAGAGAGCAATGACGTAATGGCTGACGTCTTCTGCACACCCCAATAGCGGCTGTCTGGCAGGCAGCTGGGGGCCACCACACGCCACCTACCAGCAGATCCTGTAAGGTGAGTGGCCGAGAACAGTGAAGTCCAGGGTCCAGGGAGATGGGCAGTGGAGAGAGAGCTGCGAGGGACTGCTGAAAGGGCAAGGGAGCGACGCCCTGCAAGCCAGTCTGCATGCGGTTCGCCGACGAGAGCCGGGAGCGTGAGCTCTGGATGCAGTCCGACTCTGGGTGGCTCATGCTTGTATTTAACCAGTTGGTGCTGGCCCTCCCTGGTGGCGCAGTGGTTTAAAGCGCAGCATTGTGATGCTGTCCACAGCCACTGCAGCACGAGTTCGATCTGTGGCCAGGGGGTGACCCACAGGGCGGTTCAGCAGACCTCTCCTGTCTCACCTGCTGCTCCCCTCAGTGGTATACTTGAGTGGATCCACTTGTTCTGCTCCCCACTCTGTCTCTGGTGAGTCCTCTTACCCCCCCCCCCTTACCTCTGGCCTGTACCCCACTTGTTATATGCACAAATAAATCTTTAAAAAAAAAAATAAACAGTGCTTCTGACATTTCACAAGAAATAATTAAGTCACAGGCACACCCCCCCTTTTTTGTTGTTTATCCCACCGGATGCAAAGCACCTCTGGAATTTCCCTTCCTCCTGTTTTCCTTGTTGGGGGAAGGCAAGTAATCACTTTGGTCTTAAGTGACCTCCTGCCTAATTGCAATCCTCAGGGAGAAGTAAAACAATGAAATGCAATCACCCAAGACTGTCCCCTACCCTAATGCTTGGGTTCTAGGAACTGGAAAGCAAGACGCTCCAGGATTGATTATCTGGATTATGTAAATACAGACTGAAGAACTTGTTACACCAAGCAAGTTAAACCAAGTCCAGGTCAATTTGTTTTCCTTGGCTGCTGAATCTAGGGTTCCGTGTACCGGACCCAGACTTGACAGGTGTGGAGAACAAAGGCCGGCCTGACAAAGGGGAAGGCCAGGCCTTCTTTCCTTCTCAGTTGTGCTCTGGGGATCACCTGTGTTGAACCAGGAGACGACAGCACAGCACGGCAGAGGTGGTGAGACGGAAGCGAGTCCGTGTGAGCGTTTTCAGCCAGTTTACAGTCTTCAAGGTACTGGAACTGCGCCGTGGCCAGTGATGAGAAAATGCCAGACTGATAACGCATCATCCAACATTTTATCAAGCCTTTCAAGAACGAATACCCATCTGGTTCAACTGTTCAAAAATACTAGGAGAGGAGGGCCCCCAATACCCTTTATGATGCCAGCATCACCCAAATGCTGAAACCAAAGAGCACTAGGAAATAACAGACCAGCATCTCTGATGAATCTCAACACAAAAACTTTCATATAATACTAACAAAATGAATTCAACCTCGTAACACAAGGACTATAGACCTTGATCAGGCAGTTTTTATTCCTAAATCAGTCTGATGCATCCTAGCAACAAAATTAAAGATAAAAATCCTATGAGAATATCAGTAAGTGCAGAGAAAGCATGTAAGTTTCAACACACCATTTCTGACACAAACTAAACCAGGTGGGAATAAAAGGGAGCTACTTTAACATAACAAAGGTGACATATCACAAAGCAACAGCCAGTATAATACTCAGTGATAAAAACCCAGAAGCTTTCCCCATGAGATCTGGAACAAGACAAAGATGCCCACTGTCACCACTTCTGCTGAACTTAGTGGTGAGGTTTTGGCCAGAGCTGTCAGACAAACATGGGAAATAAAGGAAACCCAAGTTAGGAAAAACTGAAACTGTCACCATTCAGAGGACATATGAGATGCCATTACAAAGTTACTAGAGGGCCTTCCCTGGTAGTACGACAGGTTAAAGCACTATGAAGCTATCACAGCCACTGCAGCACGAGTCTGATCCCTGGACCCTGAGGTGACCCCAGGGCGCAGCAGACCCCTCCTGTCTCCCTGCTGCTCCCCTCAGCGGTGGGTTTCAGTAGATCCGCCTGCTCCGTTCCAGTGTCTCTCATGAATCCTCTCCACGCCACCCCCCAGCCTTGCACCTGTGGCCTGTACCACAGCTCTTGTATGCATAAGTAAAATTAAAAAAAAGCAAAACTGCAAAAACAATTTGAGGAAAAAGGCATGATGTTAGCTGATTTCAAGCTTTCTGTAAAGCGACAGTATTACCGTATAATAATACCTGCACGGATCAATGAAATAGAATCAAAAGCCCAGAAATAATCCACGTACATAGTAGCACCTAAGCTATAAAACACCCGGGACCATAACATGGGGAAGTCTCTTTAATAAATGGGAAAATCGGGAAGTCACATGTGAGATAATGAAGCTGGTTCACATCTATGTCGATACATGAAAGTAAACGCCAAGTAGATTGAAGATTTAGATATAAGACCTGCAACAGTGAAATACACAGTAGAAAACACAGCGATACATATGGTGATACCAACAAAGATGATGTTTTTGGTGGCCCAACCCCTATATGCAAGGGAATTAAGCCCAAAGATAAACAAGTGGGATTACTTCAAGTTAAAGAGCTTCTAAACAGCAAAAGAAAATACAAGACAATTAAAAAGACTCTTCTGAATGGGCAAAAATATTCACACTGACAAAAGCATTAATAACCAACATGTGTAAACCTCATGACCCACCAATAAAGAAATTAATAACCTAATTAATAGAAAGATAGCAGAAGTGGGCAGTTCACCACAGAGCATATCCAGGAGGCCAAGGGGGATGTTCACTGTCCCTTTCAGAAAGCAACTCAAGTTAAAACACAAATTGCAGGGCCACCTGGTGGCCCAACGGGTTAAAGTTCAGTACAAGCTTGATCCCAGGCCAGGGAGATGACCCCATGGAGGCAGACCTCTCCTGCCCCACACACTGCTCCACTCAGCAGTGTACTCAGTCTTTAAAAACACAAACGGAAACCTGCACAAGTTACCATCTCACACCTATGAGATTAGCTTGTATTAGAAGGCCCTCCCTGGGCTGGAGGGGCCCCACCACGCTGCAGGTGGAAAGGTGACCTGGTGCCACCTTTGTGGAGAGCAATATGGGTTTACCAGAAACAGAAATACATATGACCCAGCAATGCCACTCCTGGGCATTCACCCAAATAAAACATCACCCACACAGAAGCACCCACAGGAGGCCGCTGAAATGTCCCTCACCACACAACTGGGTCAGTAAGTGTTCTAGACACACTACGGAGCACTGCCCGGTCACAGGGAAGCAGGAAATGCAGTCATTTTTAACAAAACGGGGGGGATTTATGTTAGCAAAGCAAATCAGATTGATAAAAGCAAACACTGGGATATTTACACGGCGAACAATTCGACAACACAGAACACTCCAAAACCATGGACATCAAAAAATAATACCATGAAGGCTTGAAGGGGGGAGGTGGGGGAAGGGGAAGGGAACACGAGGGCTCAGGTGTGGGGAAAAAAAAAATTTGCTTAGTGGGAAAAAATATATATATATACCTTGTCATCTGGTTTGTTGGCAAATGGGAAGCAGACAAATAACAGCTATAAATGGTCCCTTTTTCTTTTAAGATTTTTTTTTTTAAGATTTATTTATTTCTGAAAACAGAGCTGGGGTACAGGCCAGAGGTTCAGGGGCGATAAAAGGATTTATCAGACAGAGTGGGGAGCAGAACAGGCAGATAGACGAAGTACACTGCTGAGGGGAGCAGCGGGCGGGTCAGGAGAGGTCTGCCGCGCCATGTGGGTCACTTCCGGGGCGGGCATCGAACTCATAGTGAAGTGGCTTTAGTTTTTTAGTGCTGTGCTTTACCCCGCTGCACCACCAGGGAGGGCCCTATGTGGTCCCTTTTAATGAATGAAATCTCATTTCACGTCAGTTATTTACTCTGTAGCTTGAGGACAAACACGAGGGATTTGCTTCCCACATCTGAAGTGGTGAAGAAACACACACACAGTGACAGTGTGTGAGGCCCTCTGAGTTCCTATGACTGGGCTTTGACAAGACGACTCCTACCTTTTTTCTCACAGAAGCAACCACCATTTCTAAAAAGAGAAGATCACAACCTAGCATGTTTCAACAGAAAACATACCCTGAACTACAGCAAGGAGAAATCAGTCATGGAAACAAACACCACTCTCCAATCAAGGCTTTAAAGCTCAGGGAAGGGCCTCCAACCCGACTCCAGATTCGGGAAAGTTCCAAACTGACTGGGTTCCTCTTGTTCCCAAAGGTCCGTTCATACAGGTTCCAAAGGTAACATCAAACTTCCACCTAATATCAAAAACCAAGAACAGAACAAAGGAAAGTGGCCCAGCCTGGCCTTATGTCACAACAGCTTCAGTCAGGCAGAAAATGGACCCAGCTGTCAACAGGCAACCAGGGAGCCTGTCACTGATGAAAAGTGCAGCAAGTTAGACATCACCCGGCCAAACGTGGAGCAGAAGCTGGAACTAGTCTGGGTAAAGTAGTAAGTTTATTAATTTCTCCCTTATGCCTTTTAGCTTTCTTTCTACATCTCTAAAATGGCTTTCTAGATTAAATACATAAAGGCTAAGAACACAGCTTGATTTGGATATCTATACTTACTGCTCGACGGGGAGAGGCTCCTTGGCGGCCTCTGCAAGCTCCTTCTGCAGCCGGGCTTGCCGCCGCCTAGGAAGGAGAGAGCCCACCGTTGGTGTCTGCTTCAAGGACGCGAGGGGGTCGACATGCAATAAACCACTAGTTTCAATAGCGCACCTGAGTATTCATGCATCTCAAGTAAGCACGGGTCAAGGACACCCAAAAGCCCAAGCGCGCGTCAACTGTGGCCACTGCGAAGGATGTCAGTGCCCGTTGGCACGGGATGATGACATCAGGTAAAGGGACAGCCTGTGGGGAGCCAGGGTCTCTCAGGACAGAAAAGCGGCCCCAGCTCATCCAGGCTCAGTCACCGAAGATTCATTCTGGCTCAGCAGATGGCGGAAGCCAGCACAGGCACAGCGCGACTGCAGGCGAGGGTCGCCGCGCCGGCAGCTGTACTCCACGGGCTTCCGCTCAGCTGATACGCAACAGAGCTCAGGGGTGAGAACCCTTCTGCCCACTTTACAGATGAGGAAACAAATCCAGCGAGGCTCCTGAACCGCCCAAGGGTAGTCTCACTCACCAAGTTGGCCCGGCAGCCGGCGGGGGTGGCCGCTGACAGGCGCTCTCACTGCTCCTCCTCGGCCCCCAGGCAGGAGCCCTCATGTGGCCGGCCGCACCCTCTTTTCCAGAACTCCCCCTCTAACTGTGCTCCTCCCTTCCAGACCTCGGCACTGAGCACCAGTCACGATTCCATGGAAGCTTTTTAAACAGCTTCCGCCTGAGTGGCAGTCCTCAAAAAGGGGGCACGAGGTCGGCATCGTGGGGAGGGACGAGGCTGCATTTTACACTTAGTTTTACACTTGAAGACAAAACTAGGTTTGACAGGCCAAATGACAAAAAATACTGCTCAACAAAACTCCCCGAGCCGAACAGACGACCTATGGACTACCTGAGGGAGTCCCAGAAGGGGGGTCGTGACTCACACTCCCTCCCTCACTGATGGCAACGGGGTAAAGGACAGACCTTGGGCCAAGGGAAGGGGGCTGGGGCCCAGACCCCACCAGTGGGCCGAACCCCCGTGTAACAGGCACCCCAACGGCTAGCTCATAAGCATGCGACTGGCGACCGGGTGGCATAAAACCCCAGACACAGGACAGACGTGGGATGGGGGATGAGCAGCTGGGGGCAGCCCAGGAGGAGCTGTCTGAGCAGAGACCCCGCAGCCCCGCCGCGCAGAGGGCGCCAGGCAGGCCAGAGTGCTCAGCCTGGGAAAGCCAAGGCCGGGAGCAGGGACGGGGACACGAGCGTCTCCCGGCGGCCAGGACGAGCTGGTGGTGCCCGGCCACTGCCCCAGCGAGACCATGCCAGCCCTCTGCCCGGGGCACCCGCCAGGAGCAGCAGGCCTGCTGGGCCCCCACATCCTGCCCGCCCCAGAAGGCCATGACAAAGGCCATGCTATGTGGGACAGAGAGGACAGCAAAGGGACAGCTCATTTTCTGAAAGAAACTTAGAAAAATACAAAAGCATAAAGAAAAAACAAAAACTATGACCTCATCCTATGGAGAATTAGCAATTCCTTTTAGTCTTTTAAAACTCAGTTAACATTTGGATTATACTGCATGAAGACAGTTTATATGCTACCAGCAGCTCTATTAACTTTATGCATTTTCAAACCATAATTTTAAAATGATTTTAAAAACTCTCACAGTACGAAAACACCACAAGGGGCAACGCTGTTAGTTTTCCTACTGCAGTGAAGACGGTCTTCTTGTAGATCGCTCCTATAAACAGGCCCGCTTTCCTCAGATGAGGCCAACTTTTCAGGCTCCCGGTCACCGAGTGCACCGCGGGAGGTGGCGGGAACCGGCCTCTGCCAGCACCCAGGCCCGCCCGTCCGAGTTACTGACCACCTCACTTCCTTCACTGCGCTGTGCCGAGCGCCTCCCTCTGTTGCTTCACTAAGAACATTTGTCCTAAAGCCACACGTCCCAGGGGACTGCTCGGGACGCGTTCATGCCGAGACCCAAACCTCACCTAGCTCGCTCTGAGTTCCCACTAAATCCTCAAATGCTGCTGGTTAGGAGCCCGATAAAATAAGCGGCATAGAGACAGCCCTTAGCTCTTTAATCCGACACGTTTCCAGCTGTCACAAGGATTTCAAACTGTCTTGGAGGGACTGGGCAGGACCGAAGGCTCAGGCGATGCTGGCAGCTCTCCTGGGGTCATTCACTCACTTTCCCACGTTAGCAGCAACCACCTGTCCCCCGTCTAAGCCGCCGGGATGGGGGGCTCAAATAACGATCTCACCTCATGCCAACGAGCTTCTTGGTCGACTTTTATCCCCAGGAATGTCACATTCATATTCACGGGGGCTGGATTACACCTGCCTTGGATGTTAGCGGGTATTTAAGGATTTGGGGCCTAGGTCTAAACAGCTTTACAAGCTCTTGTTTAACTGATACTGTTCAAGAAATAGCTTTTCTCCTCAACCACAGAACGAGTCAGAGCCCAGTGAGGGGACTCAGCCCCCTTGCACCCACGACCACTAAGCGCCGCCAGTCAGAGCGGCCGCCCCAGTGGGCCGCCTCTTCCCGTCGAGCGAGGCCTGCTGCACCGGGGGAGGAAACTGCCGGACCTGGGGCCTGCGCGCCCACCTGGAGTCCTTCTCATTCTCCGCATTCAGGCGATTGGCCTCCTGGGCTTTCTCGGCCATCCACCGCGTGACGAGCTCCTGGTTCTCTTCGGTCGTTTTCCTCAGCTTCTCCTCCAGGGCCGTAAACGTGATCTGCAGCGCGTCGTACTCATCCTTCAGGGTCTGGTTGGCCCTCTCAAGGTCCTGGAGCTTGCTGCGCAGCTCCAGGCGCTCGGACTCCAGGCTGGCAATGGTCTGCAAGCACTCCGCGATCCTGGGAGCACAGGCGAGAGGAGTGGCAGCCGGGGGGCACAACTCAGGGGCCAGGGCACCCAGGCACCGCAGAACCTTAGCCAGTGCCCGGCAGCACGCGGCCACTCGCTTCCATCCCACCGCGCCAGCCGGTAACCTCCCCCCAGGATCACCAAGGGCGCCTTCTGTTCCTCTCTCCTGCCACGCTTCCTCCTGTTCAAGAACCCCCAAGCGCCAAGGCTGTGGCCAGACACGCTGTGGCCAGACACGCTGTGGCCAGACACGCTGTGGCCAGACACCCCGTGGCCCCACCTCGCCACAGGAAGACATCTGTGCAGAGCTTGGGGGGATCTGCCAGTATGCCCTGTGAGGGCCAAGGTGGCTTCCTCGGAGGACCTAAAGACCAAGGACGCTGCCCAGCCTTCTCCACCCTGAGCAGAGGGACAGGAGCCCAGGCTTGCCTGCACCCCAAGAGTCTGCGTGCACCCAGCAGGGTCAGCCTGGCCCCCCTGACAAGTCCAGTGACACAGGGAGTGTAACCCCTCCCGGCCCAGAAAGTGTCTCTACTCACTTTGCTTCGTTCACCTGCATCTCCCTGTCCTTCTGCTGCATTTGGTTGTTCAGGTCAATCACCAGCTGGGCTAGCTGAGGGTAACAAGAACACACTCAGAAAGAAGGGGTTTTAGAACTTCACCTGGAAACCAAAAAGCAAGGGGTGATAGGAGTTTAAAGACAGAAAAGGTGACTGTGGGTGGGGCCAGGAAGCTGAGCAGCAGAAAGAGCGAGGGGCCCTACGGGGACTCATGGAGTGGGGTGCGTGCCCTGTTGAAGGCGGACTTGGAGGAATGAGAAGTATGCTGGGTGACCCCCCGGCTGCTGCGGAGCCACCTGGCTGGCCGTCATCGGGCCACAGCTTCAGACTCTTCAGTGACCCACTCAGCTAAGTTAAAGGTAAAGTGCCTTTCATCACAATCTGTCATCACTGACCCCCTAGGGCCAACAAGCCCAGACCCAGGGTCATTCTGATGCGTTGTTCGGGAACTGCCAGTCACCCTGTGCTCTGGGCTCAGACCCCCAGTGAGAGCAGCAAGCTTCTCTCCAGACAGCCAGGCCTGCGCCTTGTCATTGTGGGGCAGGACAACAGGCAACTATGGCCGTGGTCTGTGCTCCCTGACACGCCTCTCCCTGCAGGGGGACTGCCGATGCCCGTGAAGTGCCACCCACCCGCCTGCTGTCTCCACCAGGTGCCTGTGTGTGCACGAGCCAGTGGGGAGAGTGGCGCTCTTTACCTCCCCACGTTTCTTATGTAACTCAGTCAATTCTTCTTGATGTCGAATCCTCAGCTGGGCCATTTCTTGCAGCTGACTGTCATTCCACGTCCCATCATGCCCAGGACTAAATCCCCAAACCAGGCAGATGTCGGACACATGCAAAAGAGGGAGGGAAAAAAATCAGATGCCGAATCCATTCCATCAGGCAGTGGAACCAAGGCCCAAAATTTTGAACGGCGCAACAGAGCAGGCCAGCCTCTCCAACCTCACCAGCCTGCGGTGCGCTGACCACCACGAGCCGGGCAGGATACGTGAGACACTGTGACCTGCGACCGTAGCCCAAGAGCCAGTCCTTCGAGGCGACACCGAGTCTGTTCACGAGACGGGAGGCAAACTCCGGGTGGGCGCCCGTCGGTGTGGCAAGGAGGCCGAGAACACGGGGCTGGAGCTCAGGCGCTGACGACCCGTTCAGGCAGACAGAGCAGAGCCAAGTAAAGCCACGAAGCCAGGGCCAAGTCACGGGAGAATGGACTGAGGGACGGGGGTCCTGCCCGTGGAGGGTCACCTGAAAGGCTTCTCTGTAGCTGATATGCACCTGAGACCCGAGAGGGGCACCATCAGGTGAGCCGGGGCGCAGACCCGTGTGCAGGGGCACAGCCGGTGCCAGGAGGTCTGGAGGCAGAACGAGACTGCAGCAAGCGGGGGATGAGGGGGGGACTGAACTGGGGGTGGGGTATGATGAGAGCGACTGGGAGATCTGGAGGCAAGAAATGAGCGTGGGGCAAGGGCAGAATCAGGGAGACCAGTCAGTGGGCTGCGTCGGAGTCTGAGCTGGGCGCAGCCCCATCAAGGAGGCCGGGCGGTGCGGCCCTCCAGGACCCGCGTCCGGAGGGCGCACAGGCCTTGCCTGAGCGGAAGGCATGCTAGGGCTGAGACAAGCCCACGCGAAGGACAGCCTGAGCACCCGCTGAGAGGCAGGTGCCACCCACTGCCGGACAAGCACGCGAAGGACACTGGGAAGAACTAGGCGGTAGGGCCAGGCTTCCGGGCGACATGCCCGGGAACGCTGCGTTTCAACTGGCAGTTAGAGACTGAATCTCAAGTAGGGGTGGACGAGAGATGACTGCCAACAGACATGTCAGTCACGGAGTCAGACCAGACCCTCACTCACGGAGGCCACAGGCGTTTGTGCCGTCGGACAGCAGCTGTGGGCTCACAGGGCAGGAGCAGGGTCTCCGGGGGGCCAGGGAAAGCACAGAGGGGGAGGCAGGAAGCGAGCTGGAGAAGCGCAAGGCCAGCCTCTATGTGACCATGATGGGGAGACCGGCAAGGGCAGTAGGACACCCATCTGTTTCATTACACATTCTAAGCACAGCTACTGCCACATCCATGGAGGCGACATTAGGTTTCCCCAAGCTTAGCCGCGGAATCAAAGGCCAAGACATGAGGAAGTGGAATATACCAGTCATCGTCCTAAATTAGACAGAATGACAGGAAATTGATTTTACCAAAATCTGTTTACTTTAATGCCAAGTAAGGCGGCATTGCAAAACAAGCTCTCCTTCCTAGGAGCTGCTGGGAAAGCCTCAGGTGAGGAGCTTCTTACCCCACAGCTCGAAGGGTCCGCCACTTCCAGTCTGACTCCCAGAACAAGTCGGAGTGCTCCCAGGGCTCACTGGGCAAGCAAGGCAGCACAGCGCAGGGAGGGATTCCAGGCCCGCCCAGACTCACTCAGTGCCGGTGAGGGTGGGGGTGAGGCAGCCAGTGCTCAAGGCCCCTGAATAGCCCTGGACTAAAGTGGGTGGTGAGTGGGTCTCTTGGAGCAGAGCACTGGGGTGAACTGTGGGTGTGGGGTGGGCCCAGATGTTGCCCTCTAGCAGAGCTCCAGAGGCTGCTGTGCAGGAAGCACTCCTAGCAAACCACCGCTCCACCCTCCAGGCCCAGCAGCGTCCACTGAGGTGGTGAGCAAGGGGACCGACACTCTTGACAGGGGTCAGAAACCTGATGCAGCTAAAGCTGGCAAACACGCGTATTCAGGTTAATGAGGGTGAGATGGGCAGGAACCAACGGGTGCCCATCTTCTGTCAAGACCTCATCCTACCAGCACCCGACTCGGTCTCCCGCTCGGAAGTGAGGAACTCATCCCCCTGCCCTGCACCGCCAGACTCATGCTGCAGCCGCACACCCCCGTGTGAACGACTCCCACCCAGGCCAGGAGAGGTAGGACAGACCGGAGAAGATGGACAGGAGGAGGCAGAATGCAAGGACAGCTGTACCAACAACGTGGGCAGGGCCCACGGGCCCGGCGCCTGGCCCACGCAAACAGGGACACCATGAACAGAAGGGAAGTGGGCAGCAGAGGCCCTCCCGTCAGCTGCTGTCCCTGGGCCATGCACGCTCCCGGGGCCGTGCAGTCAGTTGCTGTCCAGACGTTTCTAGCGCCTCTCCCAGTGAATGAGTTTGACAGCATCTGCAGGACCACGGTCACCAGGAGTCAACCAGGAGTCAACCGGGTAGAAACAAAATGTTCTAGCATTCCATGGACTGGATGCAGCTGAGAGAAACAAGTGGCATTCTCTACACCTGAAACTGACTCAGCACTGCAACCACCATTTGGCCAGCTAGGGCCGCTGCCAGACCGGCTCCTGCCCTGTCACCCAGGAGGGATGGAACCACCGTCCCTGCCCTGGTCTGCCAGGTGAGGGACTCGGTGGCAGCCAGTTACACAGCAGAGTACAGTCAGGCGGAAATAAATTCACCCCCACCCAGAGTTTCCGGCTTTTTTAAAAAAATAAAAGACTTTACAATCTCATCCACCTTGTTTGGAACGACTACTAAATGTTAACCAATACGCAGGAACGGACATAGATTTTAGAACAATGGCCACTGTTCCCACACAGGTCATCAACTTTAACATGAAGTGTGAACACGTGGTGAGATCAATGGGTCGCTGGCGGGTTCCACTTAAACACTGCTCTGACAAAGGAGGCTGCAGATGTTTCTGGATTCTTACATTCAAAAAACAAAATAGTTTACATGGATGGCACAAGAAAACAATCAGCCACATCATAAGCAATATACAAAATATGCGCATATTTAATAAGGTAATACTTAGCCTCCTTATTAAAGTGTTGTTTTTCTTTAAAAAAAAAAAAAAAAAAACTTGTTGTTTGGGCCCTCACTGGTGGCGCAGCGGGTTAAAGCACTGCACTAAGAAGCTTGAGCCACTTCCTCATGAGTTCGATTCCCGCCTGCCCCAGGAGAGATCCACTTGGTATGGCAGACCTCTCCTGACCCGCCCGCTGCTCCCCTCAGCAGTGTACTTCGTTGATCTGCCTGTCTTGCTCCCCACTCTGTCTCTGGTGAATCCTCTCACCCTCTGCATCTCTGGCCTGTACCCCAGTTCTATATGAATAAATAAATCTTTAAAAAAAAAAAAGCTTGTTGCTTGTTTGATTTCATAATCTACTAAGACACTGGAAGACAACAAACTAAAAAGAACCCTATAGGTTCTTATTGTGTACAAAAAAAGCAAACTGTATGTATGCCCCCGCCAATCCTGTTACATAAATTGGCTCAAGAATGCTTGTCTGGTTAATTAGAAGAAATGAAGGCCAGGAGGCTGGGGGAGGCCCTGGCCTGATCACCGGCCTCAAATCACCAAGCTTATGGCCTAATTAATAAGCCTTCCGGGTGGGTCGCCCTTAGAAAATGCTCTCGTCAGCTACTTGGCTTCAAGTTCTCACTTGCAGGTGCTCACAGGTGTGTGCACTACGCAGTGCCTGGGGTGCTTCTAAGTCAGAGAAACGGCCACCACACCGAGTCAGATTCAGCTGGAAGGCGACACAAATGACCCAGAACAGCCTCAGGTACCTGCTCTCGTGCCTGTGTGGCAGGTCATGCTTCTCAGCTTGCAGCTTATGGGCCAGCACTGAGTGGAGGTCTGACTTCTCCAGCAACTTGTTGTCTGTCAAAACAAACAGAGAAGCACAAGTTACTAATATGGCCTGTGAACACGGTACCGCTACGGAACATCCTAGAGAGAGACCTGGACCAAGCACGACTGGTAGGTTTGCCTCACCAGAATCGAGACGACACACTCCTCAGATGCTTCTTGGCCTAAGCTTGGGCAACTCAGCCAAAGGAACCTTGGGAACACCCCTGAGCCCCTTCTCCCCCCCAATAAAGGCAGTGTACTTTGCTTTCTACTCCCACAGTTACCTATTCTACCCTGGGAGTTTAAAAAAAGAAAAGAGAAGGAAAGAAAATATACCAAAATACAAAGGGAAAGTGAAATGATACCATCTCTAAGTAACAAGTGTACCCTAATACTAGCCTGGGAAACTGCATCTCACATCAGGAGTACAAAGCCAGACAACAGGCCTCAAGGAGCCCCAAGGGATCAAAGGAAGAGGGGTGATGGCTTGGGCTCACAGGGGAGATGCGGGCAGTCACGGCAGCAGGAGGAGCGGGGCCGTGGGCTGAGAGGCTGCAAATAAAAGTGGGCGCCAACCCATGAAATTCAGACCTTTTCTTACTGGCAGTGGTGAGGTCAGAGCCCTTAAAAGTAGACGGTGACAACAGAGCTACTTATTAGCAAGAATTCAAAGGCTGACTTGAGGTTTCCTGCTCAGACAACCAGGGGGAAGACAAGACCTGTGCCAGAGAACCCACAGCAGAGAGGCCGCACCTTTGGGTGATGACAAATGTGCCAGAGAACCCACAGCAGAGACTGCACCTTTGGGTGACAACAAACGCGACAGGGAAGGAGCGCAGAACTCCAGTCGGGGCTGGAAGGCCGCTTCATCAGGAGTGGCAGGCACGGGGCCTGCAAGCAGGCTGCGGGCATGAAGCAGAGCGGGCACTCAGTGGGGACAGCTGCACAATAACCATGTTGGGTGGGGCTTGTCTAAACCCTATAACCTGAGATCAGCCCGGCTGCAGGACAGGGCTTTGGGCTGATCCGGACGCGTCCTGCCAGAGAGCTTACCTTCCCTCTGAGCATCTCGAGCTCTATTTTCCCTCAATCTATAAAGACGGAAACAGAAACCTTTAACCACAGGAATTTGGTAAGTGTGCTCAGCAGAATAGGGAAGTGGTTCCTACCCTGGTCTCTGGATACTCAAAGGGCTCCTAAAACTTCCCAGTTGTTGCAGCAGGGCTGGGGACCCCCTGAGAACTGGGTGCTTAGAAGGTACTGAAAAGGGAAAAACCTTCCTTAAAGACCTCTCAGTGGGAGAAGGATGGAAATGGAGGGAAGCTGCCCCCACCCCCACCCCAGGCCTCTTGGTCATTTTCTCTTCAGGCTCAAAGGCATGGACTGAGCAGGAAAGTGTGGGTCCGCGGAGGGTGAGAGCGCACCTGGCCTGGGAAGGCAGGAATGTGGAGAGAGGGTGCTCCACTGACAGACGCGCCCTCCCCAGGTGTCAGTCCCTGGCCCAAAGGGCTTTTGCAGGCAAAGGTGGTCTCGCTCTCCTGCTGCATCCTGGCCAGCCTTCTCCCCAAGGAGGAGCCATTCTCCTCGTTTTCCTCCTGCCTTTACATCCACAGCCCCAACAGGAGGTCCATTTTCAAAGTGCAAAAAATCACTCACACGCAATTACAGCACCATCTGTTTATAGATATTACACGGTGGCTTTCAGAGCAATTACATGCACAGCATTGTTTGGGTGAAGCAGGCTGGGCAGGCTTCACCCCACTTTACAGATGCAGCAAAGCAGGATCAGAAAGGTAAGTGAAAAGGCTGGTAAGGGGTGCAGCCAGACAACACAACCTGTCTTTCAGAGTGCAGTGGTTTTTAAAGAGTAAGTTTTCAATAAACACCTGAGGACCTGAATTTATGTAATCTCTGAGGGAATCTCACAGAGTCAAATGTCTCCTGGGCCTCTGACTTCCTGAAACAGCACAGGTCTGCCAGAGCTTCCTGGAAGGTATTAGCACAACAGAGGCACCTCCCCGTTTTCTGTCCATCTATGCCAAAAGAGGGAGCTTAGTGAAAGGGGAAAAAGTGTAGGGGAGAGGGGAGGTGGGAACCCAGTGAAAAAAACAATGCAGGAATTAGGAGCCATCCAGCCTGCCCTCAAATGCAGGTTCTCCACTGACCTGCTGTGCAACCCAGAGAAATTACTTTATTCCCCCCAAACCTCAGTCTCTTCATATGGAAAGAAGGCAACATTAGGACCTTGGAATTCAACCTTGACTTTTCGTTAAGAGTTGGGGGACATCCAAAAAAAAAAAAAAGCAATAGCTGTATCCAACTCCAGTGGCCCCAGTGCGGCCTGGCATTTGTAATTTGGAAGCCTGCCCACCCACGCCCAGGTGACTCTAAGTAACTCTAGTAGCGAGGTAGGTCTGGGCACCACTGGTTTCGCTTGATCAGAATTCAGTGGAAGGCAATTATTGCTCTGAATCCTATCAACATAACTGCAGAGTCCTGTCGGGCTTACTTCGGAGGGTAGATTAAGACTCGAGGACCCCTACTCCCCAAATATGTCGGTCAAACAGGCGAGGGGCGGGGAGAAACGCGCGTCGGCGCGCACTCAGAGGCGCACTCAGGACTGACACTGCAATGCACAAGGCGAGAGGGGAACACCTCCTTCACACTTAAACTGTCAATAACAGCAAAGACTTAGGCTGCCCCAAATTAAAAGATGTCAGGACTCAAAATGTGTAACAAAGGTGACCGGGGCAGGGAAAAGGCAAGCGGTCGGCGGGAGCCGGCGCTCCCCACCCGGTGGGTGGGCAGTTAATGGCGGGAGTCAGCGCTGAAAGGCAGCGCCCGTTTCGCCAACACCACGCCAGAAACGGGGTGCTTCTGATCCAGGCCCACCTGGGCGCGCATGCAGGGCGCCGGCCCAGACGGGCAGCGCCACACCGCGCGCAGCCACCCCAACCTAAGGTGGAAACGGGCAGCCCCACACCCCGCGCAGCCACCCCAACCTAAGGTGGAAAC